CCCCTTGCTGATTTTCTGAGTAATTGAGGGCCCCTCCAACAACCCAGACTTGGCTTTGATCTAGCTGCCATGGTTGCCAGAGTAGGTCTTATTCTTGCTTAAAATGAAGCCTGACGTCAGTGTCTCTTGTTTATTTCAGATGACTTTGAAAAAGCCAAGGAAATTTTAACAAAGATGAAATACTTTTCAAATATAGAAGAAAAGATCAAGTTAAAGAAGATTCCCTATAGTTAATTACTTATTTAAAGTTTTAAAAACAAATTTCCTGTATTCTTTCCTGGCTTCTGCTAATTGAAAATAGGTATGCTTTAACCTTTATATCATTTTATTTCAGTCTGTGGCTCAAGCTTTAATGGATGGCAAAGTTCACTGTGCTGGAGGAAAAACAATCAGGTCAGAGCTTGAGTGGTCACTTCTTCAACTGACTTCATGTAATACCTGATACAGCAAGCATCCCACCTAGGCCAGTGGATGAGGAGGTGGGGAAGGGACAACTTGAGGCCCTTTTTCTACAGATATCTAGATAGTGACTATTTTAGGCTTGATGGGCTTATATGACCTCTCTTATAACTTCTCAACTCTTGTCATTTTAGCACAAAAGCAGCCAAGACAATATTTAAATGAAAGGATGAGTTCAATGTTTCAATCAAACTTCATTTACCAGGAAAAAAGAAAGAAAGAAAAAAGAGAGATAATGTTTTATTTACAAAACAGGCAATAAGCCAGATTTGGTTGGAGTTGACTAGCTTCTGCCCAAGAGCCACAACTTCTTTTTCATGGTATGACCTTCACTTTGATGGGCAGTGCCCTTAGTTACTGTGGCCTTGGGTGTATTCTGTTTGATAAAAAGCAAAGCCACCTAGAGGTCTCTTTGGCCTGTAGATAATGCTAGCAAGAACTAGTCTGATAGTAAATGTTAGCCCTAGTTCTACTCCTCCTGGGTAGGGTGGAACAACTTTACTTATTCTCTGGATAATTGACACTCTCTTGTCACTATTTCCATGGTCTTCTAATTCAGCCCAAAACAGCTTTACCTCCCACTTTTGGATCTTAAGAAATTCAGTTTAAGTTTTTGATCCATGTCCAGGAAAAAAAAAAAAAAAGTTGGTTTTTTTTGTTGCTTTTTTTGTGGTTTTTTTGTTTGTTTTTTGTTTTGGTTTTTTAAGTCTCTGATCAGGAAAGATTAAAATAGCAAACAGAAAATTCTGATTTAAAAAAAAATACATTCAAACACTTCTAGAAAGAATCACTTACTAAACCAATTTGTTCAAAAGCTTAAAATTGCAGTTATTTTGCATTGTCTAAAAATTGTGTTTTGTGAATACTGATCACATTACACTCAGTGAACATTTTAGTATTCAAGAGGCAAATTAATTAGAGCAAGTGTTGGACCTAAAGGTACTTAGGACTATCTATACAATCTCCACCCCCACCCCTGACCCCTTAAATCTGACAAGAATGTCTTACTTGTCTGAAAACACACCAGGAGTCCTTTAAGTAAATGATTTTTAATGCAAGCAAATGTCCCAAATACCTTTAGTACTTTTGCAAAGAAGGAGGAATGAAATGAAAAGAGGTTTGAAATACTTCTGTAGACAATTTTTATTCCTTCCTCAGAACAGTTGTCAGGACCCAAACAATCTGACCACAAAAAGAAATTGCCTCAAACACATCTTTAGAGGAACTTGAAAAAAACTTTCCCTTTACCTGTTGCCATCAGCTGGAAAAACTGCTAGGCCCCACAGCAAACCATCTCTGATTTGGGGGATTAATTTTAAAACACTGTTCTGGGTCATGGCTTCTGAGGTCAGTGGGATTGTTTTTTTCTTCTTCCAAATGCCTTCCCTTTTTGTCTAAATTCCAAGTTTAGTGGGACTTCTAAATCCAGGAACCCTTTCTAGTGTTCCTTAACAAAGCTCTGTGGGAGATCTGTTGCTAGATGTCTAAAAACTTGTCAGCCCCACTTGGATTTGTTTTTGACCAACAAGTGAAGCAAATTATTCACCCCACTTCCCACACCTATCTTAATAATAGTATCAGGAAAAAAA